GGCGTTTCACATAAAATAGATTTGGAGGAACTGATGATCGGCATCCAGCGATGGCAAAAGTGACCCATGACGATGATATACCTGACCTTTGATTTTGAAGGTCGGCATGTAGGACCCACGTATGATTCCAGTCGCACCTAATGATGTCATTTGAAATCATGAATTGTACATGCGAATATTGGCAAAAAAATGCTGCGATTTCTTCGTTTGTCCGCTCATCAGAGTTGACAACGGCTCAGGTGGTGGGTGTAAATCGGGTAGTTTGACCTTGCCCCCCGCACAGCACATTCCTGGACTTTCGTTCGCAAATTTCAATGCACGACAAAACTTACATGCACTTGTCATCTCACCGATTTCAAGGCCAGCATATGTACTATATGTACTATAATCATGAGCAGGATCATACTCAAATGCTGCGCAATTCAATTCCTGCCGTGCCTGCTCTCTTGAACGACGACTCCGCAGCCTTTTCTGTAGCAATCTAGCCGACCTCTCATCCTCAGTTTCATCGGAGCGCACTTGTGAAGAACGCAGTCGGTTTTGTTCTAGTCTCACCATACTTCGTTCCGGCGATTCCCGAGACCGAGAAAGAGAGTGATGGATACGATGTACGATCACTTTCCATCCTAGAGTTTCGCCGATCCTCAGTTTCTTTCAACCGTGATATCGAATGCCTCCGTCTGTCCTGTTCTAATCTAAACATATAAAAACAAATGTGCGTATGTCTGTCATGGTCGCATACATTCCCGATGCGATTCTGTTTTTGATGATCCGATTCAGAAGCTATTGATAATTTGCGTTTCGTAGCTCGTCGACTCAAGCGTCCCAGTGAGCTCCGTTGGGGAGGCATACTCTCGCACCTCGCGACCGACGAAAACAAACTCGACTTCGTTATCGTCCCCTCAAAATGGGGATCGTTGATCGTTGCTATCATGATCAAAGATACTGAACATCGTTATCGTCGAAAATGTCCGCCAATATCATCAAAAAAGAGGAAATAATGACAATCGTTTCATGTTTCATCCTTATGAAACCCGATGTGCTAATATCCTTCCCCTTTGCGACACGTCTTCGATCCCGATCGAATCAGACCTACCGAGCGCGACGTACGGGAATGTATGCGACCATGACAGACATACGCACATTTGTTTTTATATGTTTAGATTTGGATTCTTTCGTTGGGCTTCCGACGTCGACTCGCTCCGGGCTCACTGCAACGCTGAAAATGAGAGAGCTGGATGTGCGGCGAGTTGGTGGCGGGGGGCTGGCTGGCTTGCTGGCTGAGTGACTGAACGGAAGTTCGGTGTACGCATGCGGTGAAATGGAGGGAGCGCGGTCGGCTTCAGAAAGGCAACTGCGGCTGGAGCGACGCTCCGCGAGCCTGAGCCATTCTCTCAACGACCTCGTTACGTCCAAGGTCGCATCATATCTGAGCCTGCCATGGAGGAATATTTCGATTCCGCTCCCTAAAGGCCCATTCGGGTACGTCACGGAGAGATGGAACCGGGCTTGGGAAGGAAGATATCGAGGAGATTGTCATGCCTCTCACTCGCTAAAAGTTGTAACGGAATCCACCGACCGAGCACCCGATTGAGGGAGCGACCGACCGGCCCAGCGAACCGACGGACGGATCATTTGGTCGCCCGTTCGAATTAGAGATGCTATCGAAGCGATTCGGGTAGATAACTCTCTCCGAATTTATTTTCCCCCCATGGCACAACGGCGATCGCCCGACGCGCCCTTTTTCCCCTTCCCTCGGTCGGCCACTTGAGGGAGAATATTAGTGACGATAGTCCGAGGGCGGTGTAGAAGTATGGATGAAGAGCGGCAGCTAAGGATTGCGGTGAATATTCCTTCAAAACCCTGGTGCTCGTCCGAGACAAGTCTCAACGCGCTGCTCGGGCTTGTCGACTGGTAGCTTCGCCAGACCATCCAGCTCGGGACGACTCCAATCGGAGGTCGCTGGAGGTTTTGGAAGGCCGCTCACGGATGTCTGAAATTGAAGACTACATACGCTATTTGAGCTGAGTCAGCGCCATTCTTGTCCCAGCTTCCATGGATCTCACCCCGGCTGTCCCATCATGGTTCCCGATGAGCTCAAAATGTCGAAGGAAGAGCGTTTCTTCGAGAAATCGCCTGGCTCCCACGTCAAAATCAATTTCACTCCAGGCGAATCACGCTGTTCCATGGCATCTCTTCCTCGATGCGCTATCCGAATCGGATGTGCGCGACGAGACGAAGTTGATTGACTCATGTAGGTTCGGGCAGCTCCTCTGGTGGTCGCACATGCAGAGGTGCGGACGGAAGTGGCTGTGGACGTAGATATACCTACACAGTCCCAATCTGACACGTCAGAGTTCAACGACGACGTTTGCGGACGGTTTAGTCGCTGTATTTATCATTAGATCGAAGAGGGGCTCGCGAGAACACTTTTACTCTCCACTTTTTCATCTTCTTCCTCTGCCGTCGCAATGGAGGGTTGTGGGCTTATGGCAGAGATATTGATCTCTGTTGACAGCCCATGTCGCTATGGGCTTTCGGTAATAATGATGGATGGCCAGAAGCAAAGAGCTGGTCAGACAGCTAGCCAACAACCCCTCCGACCGACCGACGAGGCGAGCGACCACTCAGACATCACACGCTGCGACTCACCAACGGAATAAGAACGACGACGACGACGACAACGGCGGCGTCGTGGACGATATCTCGATTAATTCTGAGTACAGGAGCATGCGGACCCAGGAGACTACACTCGTATGCGACGGCATATACTTTTTCGCGATTGCACGGAGCTCAACAAATCGCTGGCTGGAATTCGCATCCGCTCGAGACTAGAGAGTAGGGAGTAGGGAGACGGCTTCAATCGTGGGGAGGGAAACTTGCGGCTGACGGTGGGGAGCTCCCATGATTCGGGACAGATTCTAGACGAGAGTCTTCGCGGTAGAATCTCTCTCGCGGTCATTCGGGAAGAACGCCGTTTCCGAAGGCATCCTGAAGAAGTTCGTTTTCCCAAAACGGGGAATCTTGGTCAAATTAGACGGCGAACCCTCAACGCGTTCACACGAGGCATTTCTTTTGATCAGCCGATCGGCGGTCTTCCCTCCACGTCCGAGCCTTCCAATATCGAACGATTCGGCGCCATTCGCCGACCAATGGCTCTCTTTGGATTCATTCGAAAATTGACAAAGTCAAGCGTAGGTGCCTCCCGTTCCGCGCACAAACTGAGATGCCTAATCAACCCCCATGCAAACGCTCTCTACCCGAAGCTGCTCGGCTGCTGCGACTACCGTTGTCCGAACAATGTTGATTTCCGCTCAAATTGCGACAGCGATTCGGCGAAACTCTACCCCTTCTCTTTCGCGGCGCGGGTCCTTCGCCTGCGATCGCTATTGCTTACGGGTTTATTTCACCGATTGCTCAGGGTGCACGGAACCATCGGGACTCCCGGAGAGCCCCCGGAAATGAATGAGTGGCCAGCCGAGGGATTGTCGCCGACAAAATGACTTAGAGCCTCGGAGGGATACGAGTTCTGTGGGGCAGCTCTCCGTGGTGTCGACACAGAATTCGACAAGTGACCATGTATGCATCTTGAAGGCCCGATTCCTCTCTGCTCGAAATCAGCTTCTTCACTGAGCTCCCAATCCCGGCGAATGGTATCAGCGTTAGCTCATCCCTCCACGCATCGATGCTTCATACATTTCTCGGAGATCGTATCGAGTCTATGAATCTTTCCGAGCGCTTTACGAACTCTCTAAAATACAGGATTCCGCAAAATCCATTCCGAGGCGAAATTGTGAGTGAACCGACTGTGCAGAGCGTATTGAGGAGATCTGGCTGCCACTGAGCAGGCTTGTATGAGGTCGCTGTATACTTGCTGAGCTTTATTGCCTGTTAAGGGCCATTCGAGGAGAACGGAGGAGGATGGACCAGCCGCGGCCCCAGCGAACCACGACAGGATACCAGCCGTCTCATTCGAAGCCGGAACATGGCAGGAAACAATGGACGTCGACGAAAATCCGGTACGACCGTCGCGATGGACGCGAAGGAGAGTGACACACTATGCCGAACACCGCACGCAGCAAATTCGCACTCAATACGCGAATCGACGTAGAGTGTCGAAAATCGTTCCAATCAGTCAGTAAATTATTCACAGACTCATGGGAGCGATTTTTCAAGAATTATTTTCCAGGTGTCGTCGGAATCTATTCCTGCTCCCCGTTCTCCCCGCCTAATTTTTGTGCGAAACGATCGCTTCGATGCCACACTTCGGTTAAGACCGCTTCGTCGTGGCGATTTCGGTCTGACAGGCGAGAGGCGACAAGGAAATTTGCTCGCGACCTCTACGTCAACCGGACGAGCCTACTGCTTGAAGGGGAACGGTTTCGTGAAGAATCTTCTCTATCGGATCTTAAGACTTGGTGGCCACGCTAGGAATCGGGTATTTCTTGGATCTCTCAAGGGGACCCGTACCTCTCCCGGTCCCCGGGTATACTACAACCCCGCCTGGGTTTCGAGCAAGATAATCTATGCCCAAGGATTATATAACGCAGATTCACGTGAATCAGCTCGGAGCCCCAGTTTCCAGGAGTGCGTATAGAATGCGAGCCTATTTCCCGGGATCGCACAAAGAAAGAATTCAATCGATATGAGCGATGCAGACGATTCATCTTTTTATTGATTCTGCATGTGATCCCGTTGTGCATTTTCTTCATCACATCGTTTCAAGTCTTTTCCCTGTAAGGAAGTCCTGGAAAGAATAGTTAACCCGATCAGCTACGATCCCAGTTCTCTGGTCCTGGGAATCTAGCGGGTTGTTAATGTCATCTCGTATCACAGTTGGAACAGTCAATGTACATTTCCGATAAACGGCATTTACCTAGATGAGATTCATCACAAACATATACATACAAGGATAACAAGGGTCATCTCTATCTGCCGGAAGAGCGGCATCTTTGTACGATTGTGCGAAATCCGATTCCGAATGACGACCACTTTTGTACATGAACAAGCTTACACACGCTCTCCACGCCTTTATTACACTCTTCTCTGTGGGAGAATTATTGTATGTTGTGTTCGTCTTCCGTTATCTACATGACTGGTGGACCGAAAACTACTCGAGAGCGATCGGGTCGGACTAAGCTCCTCGAAACCGCGACCAGATGCTAAATGCTGTCGTGGCCTTCTGGATGAGGGAAGAAAATTCTGGTCGAAGGATGATCTTCAACCGTTATGGAAACAATGTACCTGCCGTCAAGCACCTTGAGTCGCAGGCTGGGCCGGGTCCACGAATTTCGAGAGGTATGAGCAGAAGCACACACAACGGATCGATGGAGTTCGTCACTCCTCGCCGTCGCTTCTGTCGCACCCGTGTACTACGAGGTCGTTCCGTTCCCTCAGCTTAGCGAGCGACCTTCGTCCCGCGTTTCTCTATGCAACAATTTGTTTATTCCCCTTAGAGTAAAGTTGTTCGAGAACAAAATTCCAGCGCTGCGTTCGGACAGCAGCCGATTTCTGTGTTTGCTCTGAAAAACGTTCCGCGCGATGCCGGCGCCCCGATGAGAGCTCGCGCGCACCGACTCCTCGCATCATACATACGCAGATCGGTCCAATTTCTCACGATAGATCACTCCAGGCATACCACCTTCTTCGACTTCGAGCTACTCGACCCAGTGCTCAATGTTCCACCGAGGTTGATATGAATTTTCAGTTTCGGATCCAACGTTGGTCGATTCCTGACTTTGAACTTTACCTGAGCTGCGTCCGCGCCCGACTGTACTGTTCTCGGAGGAGATGAGCTGTAACGAAGGAATCCTCAGCGTCGTTCGCGTGAAACCACGACCCCCTCTCCTTGAGACTGCTACCCATCACAGAGAGGGGTGATCGAGCCAATTCTTCGTATCAGGTTCAGATGCATGATTTCAAACTGACCTGTTGGTGCTTATGTGCCCAATACGATCCTTTATACTGCCTCTAGACGCTGGTGGAGGGCCCAGTCGGGACAGAATTGTCGGTTTCGAGAGCGAGTCGCCTGTGGATCGAAGACAATTACACTGAGTACAGAAGCGCTGGCGAATGTGATCGCGGAAGTCTCGCAAGATTTCGTTCTTTCTGAAGCCGAATCATGATACTTCGTAGAGGGAGAGCGGAAATTTACCCGTGTCTTCATTCTTAGGCGAGAAACGTTTGACGCTCAGTTTCGGTTCCTTCACGGGCTCGCCCAATCGATCTTGGACTCGTCGAGAATCGTCGGTGTCCTCTACTTTACTAGTCGGTGACTTTTTGAGCGAGATGACTTTTTGCGAGGGCTTCAGCTCCTGGAACGATTGAACATCGTGCATTAGCCTCCTTTCACCTTTCTTGGGCATCTCTCTCCCATTCATTATGGATTCGACCTCATGAACTTTCTCGAGGGTCCGCAGGAAATTCTGCGAATCTCTCCAACGGGTCCTGACTCACCTTCTGTAGGAATTTTTTCTTCCGGGCCTCGAGACGCTCTCGATCGACTTCCGATATATTGTTATCTGAATCGGTGTGCGTCCGAGGCTTCGAGCTCTTGGATTGTGCCCGGACCTCGATTTTGGAGTTGCTCGACGGACGCTCCGGTTTCGGCGAAGGTTTCCGACTCGACTTCCTCTTGCTCTTGTCTTTTTCCCGACTTCGACTTCGCTTCCGTTTCTCGGTGACGTCACTTTTATCGTCATCTCTCGATGCCTTGCTCTTCCTTTCCCGATTCTCTTTCTTATCGATTCGTGCTGATCGTTCCCGTCGAGCATAACGCGGAGTGGTCTCGGGCGACAACTCTTTCCGATACTCGTCATGTCGATTGCGGCTCCGATTCTTTTCGGCATGCTCGCGTTCCTTGAAGACCTCTTCAGACCTTCTCTTCTCCGGGCCCGGGGAATTCGAAGATGGTTGACTCGCGACGACAGCCTCCGGTACAACGGGATCGACGAAGAGGTCGTCCATGTCGTCTTCAGCCTGGAGAAGTAGACAATCTTCGTCTTCCATCCGATCTACGTCTCCGTCAGCGACGGTAACGGTAGGCTCTTGGCTATCTTCGTCGGGGGACTCCGTCTCGAGGGCCTCAGTCCTCGCGGTCGTCTCTTCGGTTTCCTTGAACAATTCGTCCAGGAGCGACTCGTTGCAGCTCTCGTCTTCGCTCGCCGCCGAATCCTCGAATCTTTCGAAGCGCCCTTTCTTGGAAGGAGCTGGCCGAACGACTTCGTGCTCTTCGGCTGCGGGAGAAGGCGACGCGCCTCGTCTCCTTCTCGGGGAAATGGCCCTCCGATGGCTCCCTGATACCGACGGAGCCGTCGGGGAAGCTTTCCGCTTGTCGCCATCGCGTCTCACGGGTTTACACTGACGAGAACTCGACGAGTCTCGCAATCGTCGCCGCGGTGAAAATCTCCGCGGTGAACTCCGAAGCGGCGATCTCCTGAGTGGGGGCGACCTCTGCGGGGAAGACCTTCGAACGGGACTCCTCAGCGGGGACATTCTCGGGGACCTTCTCGTGGGCGACAATCTATGCGGGGATCTCCGACATGGAGGAGGCGATCGACGCCGTAATGGGCTTCTGCGTCGCGGCGAATGGGATAGGCGTCTCGGTGAATATGACCTGGGGCTCAATCGTCTCTTCCACGAATGATGAGACGGCGAATGATGTCCTCCATTCGCATGGTAAGGCGACGGTGAACGTCGATGGAGATTAGCTCGCGGCGACCATCTCGACGAGAGCGGCGGCGATGCTTCTCGGGACCGTCTTCGGTGATCGTTGGGACTCGGTGACCGTTCCCGCGAGAATCTGCGGGTCGGAGGACTGTTGCGGAAGTCGTTGACATTGTCCTGGGGCTCTATCACGAGTACGTTGTTCCGTTGCACTATCAAGGCACGAGGTTCTTTCTTGAGCTTCCGCTGCTCCAAGGTCTGCAATGCCGCGTTTCTCAGCGCAGCTAAATCGTCGTCTTCATCTCCTTCATTCATGGTGCATGCCTGTTGAAGAATGAACTCGTGAGGGGTGCTTTCATTGATTTCTTGCGTCGAGAGGACACATTCATGTATATCGGACAAGTGGAAGCACATGATTGACAACGAACATCCGGGAACACCATTCGCTTTCTGGTTTCTAGACGCCATTCGTCGGGATGCCAATCGCGGCGCCCTGCTGTTTCGGCAAACTCGGAAATTTCGGTCGTGGAGGACGAGATCGGTTTAGGTAGCCCGGTACTAAAGGCATGGGAATGGGCCAACGAAAACCTTCACACGCCGTGTCCGATGGGATTCCGGATGTTGCTTCCAAAACACTCGGAACGACGGCAACATTTTCATTCGGGCAGCAATGGTTCTCCGAGTTATTCCGTGGGAACGAGGGGGTGAGACGGATCTCCTAGCAATACCTCCAGGACATGTCCCCTGAGTATTCGTGGGAGTTAAATCCCTTCGAGATATTGAGACAGAGCTTCGGTATCTGCTAGTTCAAGTAGAACTTCTTGAGCAAGGATTCTGATACCATACCCCGATGGGTCAGATACTTCCTTGCGAGCATGGACGCTCATGTGCTATAGAGTCTACAACAGCTCTATCGATCAGCATAAAAATCACTCACCGTATTCGCCATTGACGCGGTTGATCTGTGAATGTTGTTCATATGATGGTTTTGTTGATGATGATGGCTAGCTGCCATCTTGTTGTTAAAACCACCACTGCTGCTGCGGTACCTGGCTACCGAACGTTTCCGCTGCAGCTGTTTGACGGATGGACCAGCGAACGCTCTTGCCGCGTTCCACCAGCAGTCGCTGCAATGGGTATTGAGCAACTTCACCGAGCGAGGGCAGGAGCGAAGGCAGCAGCACACACCGCCGAAAGCAGCCGCGGCAGAATTGGGATGTTCACAACAATAATAAGAGCAACAGATCACCAGCGGGGCGACGACGACGACGACCACGGAGCAGACGAACTCGATTTGAATGTCTTGGCGCCGAAAGTGGAGA